GGTAATTAACACAAAGGTTACGTGTTGCTAAAATCTCTCTCATACACTGCCGTCATTGTTCTCGTTACCTCAGTTTGCTCCAGTGAAATATCTTTGTGATTAATGTACTGAAAGTTTCTCTAGATAAAAGCCTCTTCTAAAGTAGCTCTCTTTACACAGAACTGCTTTGAACTCTTCATCCCAGACAACAAGGATCAGGTCATCAAAGCGTGTAAGACTGAAGCAGATGGACGGGTTGTGGAAGGAAACCATACGTTCTACCGCATCTCAGCACCAACAACAGAGGAGAAGGAGGAGTGGATCAACAGCATCAAGTAAGTCTTCCTCTCATTTTGGCCTGACAGAATATTTAATTAGTGGTCGATCGATATTAGTTTTTTGACAGCCGATGCCGATATCTTGAGCCCGATTTGGACGGTAATTGTTTCTCATGTGGACGTCTGTAAAAATAAATGTACATATCACCTCAGTGATAAAACTCATGGATTCGGATGGCGATTTATTCACAGTGGATTTTTACGGGGGTGGTGAGAGAAAAACACCGACATCCTGGATTCGGATGGCATTAAAATCCCCTGTAAATGGTGAAAATCTCTTACGTCCCCCTGAGAAACAGTTACCGTCCAAATAGGGCTTTGGAAAGCAGGGTGGCCGATATAATTTTATTTATTTTATTTAATATTTAAGAAATTTGAAATCATTTGAAAATGGATAAAAAAAATAAATGTGTAAAATAAACATGTTTATACTTTAAATGACAAAGTATTTTTCACAAATAAACAAGTATTTAATAAAAATATAATTGAAAAGGAAGTAAACACTGTAACCAACAGGGCACTCAGTATTCTGGGAAGTTTGTGTGCATTGGGAATCACATTTTTTCAAATAAAGCCAAGGTAACGCTCATTTTACATACAGCACACAGTGAAAATGACATGACTATGACAATGGGCAAAAGCATGAAGCGCAGCATAATTTGAAATCACGAGTTTAAAGTTTATCGATCGCGCATCTCCAGTGAAACTGAACTCTCCTCCTGTCAGCATTCCATTCACACGGATCGACCGTCACGCAGAGAACACGCGATCGTGCAGGATACAAATGCACACTTCACAAGATCTCACAGCTGGATTTGACTTAAGTTTGCAAGGTTTTTGAAATTAATGTTCATTAGTCATTCAAAGATTTGTTTAAATTATATAAATGCGCATTTGCTGAATGCTGACGGCAAACAAGAAAGTATTATAATGTTTGGCTTTATATTACTAACAATATAAAAACAATCGTTATAATACGTTTTTGTATACATTTTAATTCCTTTGTTTAACCGTTCTATCTGATTATTAGACATACTTCTGTCTATGGACAGAACTGTTAACGACGACAGCGAACAAGAGGGAGAATGTGAGCACTGTGTGTTCAGGCCAAAGACTACAGAATACCCAAGACGTGTCACTCGTATTGTTTTGAATGGGGGAAAAATGCAACGCTCAATATGGCTGCTCAATTGCAGGAAACCCCGCCTTCTGAGTATAAGAGCCAATCGCTAATCAGTAAAGTCATCTCCTCACTGCAGCTGCCGTTAGAAGTCCCGGCCGGTTGCTATAGGGGAGGAAAAAAAAAAAAAGTCCCGGTTGCTATAGAAACAGTCAGCATTCTGAGAGGTTGCTTAGGACTGCGCATGCGCACTGGCTGGTCTAGCCTGAAAAATAAGCTTTTTTTTAATGCTATTTGAGCAAAAGAAACAACATTTATGACAGTTGTTGTCACACAGATTTCATTGGTGATTTCAAATATGAAATTTAATTGTAAGCTTAGAGTTGAATCCATTGATTATTAATGAGTTAATAAACAACATCAAATGCAGAAGATAAAACTACAAGAAGATACAACAAACCCTAAAACACAAATTAAGACTATTAAAAATCATATATATATATATATATATATACATACAGAGAGAGAGATAATACTTAAATACTATTAAATATTTGACAAATACTTGAACAGTATATAAATAATACTAAAGTAACAGGAATTTTGGGGGTAATTGTAGACTTGCCTTAAAGGGCCTTTGGTTCAGGTGCTGCTGTTCTCAGCGCCGTCAAAATAAAAGTCCTGCCACGAACGCATCGGCCAAACAGAAAAACGTATCGGCCGATGCCGATATTTGAAAAATGGCGATATATCGGTCGACCACTATTTTTAATATGCATGAGGTTGCATTTTGACACAGATTGGACTTAAACCCTGAGTCGCATCTAAAATTCATAGGGCCCAAAATTCAGTTTCTGAAATGAATTTTTTTGCCCACTAAAACTGATCTTTAGGGGTTATGATTTTAACTTCATGAGTGTGTGTATATATATATATATATATATATATATATATATATATATATACATACAGAGAGAGAGATAATACTTAAATACTATTAAATATTTGACAAATACTTGAACAGTATATAAATAATACTAAAGTAACAGGAATTTTGGGGGTAATTGTAATATTAAGTGTGTATGATATAATAGCAAAAGTAAATTGTAATGGTGGAAATTTCCTAGATAGCTCAATATTGAGCAGGGACCTTTTCTATGAGATAATATAATCTTATTTTTTAAAATTATAAAACATTACATTTGAATTCTTTATTTTTTGTTTTATTTATGCACTGTTAATTTTTCATCCTAGCAACCTTTTAAATTTGATCATATAATAATAATAATTTAAAATTATTTATACTTTAAATATTTATTCATAAACATGTATTTAAAAAGTAAAAAAATATGTATTTATTTTTTAATTTCACATCAATATAATATGATAGTTATAAGATAAGTAATAAGAGAGTTTGTAAATAGTGGAAATTTCCTAGATAGCTCAATATTGAGCAGGCTAGATATGAGTGTATTTTTTAAGTAAGCAAAAAATGTTCTTTTCTCCCTTTATCATTGTCTCCAGGGCTGCCATAAGCAGAGACCCTTTCTATGAGATGCTTGCTGCCAGGAAGAAGAAAGCCTCATCTCTGAAGAGACAGTAGGGCTGCAGAAAGGATGTTTGTACCTGGACCTGGAAAAGGGGCGAATGATACACGGAAACCATAACGCTGGATTGGAGTGATTTTTATCTCAGGAATGACCTGAAGTTTTGAAGGTTATCATGCAGTTGGTTTTCTGAGAAGTTGTCTGACATTTCTGTTTGTTTAATTCTTATGAATGAACATTGAGTACTCGCGTACATCGTCATCTCAAATCAGCAGGACTGACTGAATGGGGCTCTCATTGACCTTTTGTAAGCTTGCAGCAGACTTGACCGTTCCTCTCTGTGCTTTGATAAGTATAAAATGCTAATTGTGCACCTATTTTTACACTGCTATGTACTGTAAAAATCTGGGAGACTTTTGGCCTCATTTTGTTTGAGGCTATCTGGCTTTGTTTTTCTATTCGTTTCTGATCTGCTGTCATATTTGTTTTTTTTTGTTGTTGTTGTTGGGTATATATTTTTCACATTTTGCCAAAGCTTGTCTTTCAGTCCCACTCCATATACTATCCTAAAAACTGTAGTTGAGTGATTTTCTGATTCATTAAATTAATTATTTTTTTTTATTTTTATGCTGTTTATTTAGCTTAAACAGTGTTTTATTTAAAATATCAGGACATTATTCACTGATCTCATAGGTGGCCTTGAAAGACTGTGAAATCCAAAAACATTTCAGTACGTTTGGTTCATATTTATGGAACAATGTCAAAAATTAAACTACTGACTGGAGAGTTTATTTTTATGTTTTGTATTTTACCACCTTGTTAAAGGGTCATAGGATGCTACATGCACTTTTACAAGTTGTTTGAACTGAAATGTGTGTTGGCAGTGTGTGTACACAACCACCCTATAATGATAAAAATCCACCCAGTGGTTTTTTTTTAATCTGGTTAAATGTTTTCCCCTTTCTCAAATCGAGCCGATCTCAGATGTCTGTCTGTCTGTCTCACATACAGGCCCCTCCCACGATAGTTTGATTGACAGTATTTACAATTTTAACCAAACTATGTTACAGACTTCTCATTAAAACCCTAAAGAATCATATCAACTTGTGGTAAATGGGCATCCTATGACCCCTTTAAATTAATGCATATGAAAGCCCCCAGTTTTTTTTTTTTTGCTTTATATGCACTGATAATTGAGAGAAAACTCTTTAAATACTAATTTATCAATGCTGTACATATTTAAACATATAGGCTGTTTTATTTGTTATTGTCAAGATATACTTTGTGCAAAAGTAATGGGGTGAAGAAAAGGTTTTGACATGCCAAGTTTATTTCACCATTGCTATGTAATCTTGTGGTTAAAATAAAACTGAAATCTTTACAAATAGAATTTTTAGTTTAAGGCTTTCTTGACATTTCCATTTCTCAATGCCTTTCATTCTTGCTTCTTAATGAACTTGGAAAGAAATTAAGTTTCTCAGTATATCGACTTTTACTGAAAACAACCAGGAAAAAAAAGGGGGGTTTTACAGTGGATGTGACCAAATATGTCACACATCTTTATTTCACATCAAATAACTCACTCAACCATGACTGTTTAAGCTGTCTTTTTATTCTTAAAAACCACTTACACATTGACAAAAAAAAAGTTTATAATAGTACGTAATGTTTTTGGCCGTTTTGTAAGTTCTTGTGTGTTAGATGACGTGGCTTTAAGGCCTCATCTGACTCGGGTAGCACCTCGGTCTGAAAGAGCTGGAAACACGACCATTCAAAAGTCTCTTCTCTTCCAAACACTGTCATTCATGAAATTTAAATCCAGTTAAATGTAAGTCAAAAGGAAAAAAACTCATCTGGTCTCAATGTTTATGAACCTTATAAATAAGCAAACACTCTTGCTTCTATGCACACTGGCACCAAAATCAAAACATTCTTAGGAAAAACGGTAGTACCGCAGTTTTTATTACAAAACCAAGTTTTTCAACTTTTGCAAAGCAATACTGCATTACTCACGCACACTCAAATACAGTGCTGCTCAAATCCATCCCAGGCGTACTGTGTAAAGGTTTGTGTCAGGATTTGGAGCTCTTCTATAAACTCTGCTGTACTAAATATTAATGAAAGTCATATGCTCATTTTCAGTATTGAGCATCATTAATGAACAGTTACAAACAAAACTATAAAGAATGGAGTGTAAATGGATAGTCTTAACTAAAAGTGAACATTGTGACTCCTTCATGGGGGTGATTAAATTATTTTTAACTTTCTTTAAGGCCCTCAGCCTTGATAGTTTGCAGTGGTTTCTATGGAAGCCCATTACCACCACAGAATAAAAAAGGTAATTGGAACTTTTAAGCTAAACAATTCTTTGGAGAAAAAAAAAAAGTCTGAATTTTGAAATATAAATGCACAATTCTGAGGGGAAAAAAAGGCAGAAATGTGAGATATTCACACTCAATTCAATCTTTTTTCTCCAAATTCTGAATGTCAAAAATGAGTGAAAAAATGTCACCTGTTCTCGCTGTGATCTCACAGTTCAGACTTTTCATCTCAGAATTTCCAGATAATCTCTTAGAACTGTGAGTTGTCCGAATTGTAAGATATAAACTCAGCATGACAAATTGTGAGAACTCACAATTGCCTTTAATTTATCTTGTGGTGAAAACAAGCTTTCATAGGTTTCAGGGAAATATAGATATTTTACATATGGCTGAGGTAACTAAGTGTTGCTGAAATGTGCGAGATCAACTGAATATCATTGACCTTAGTAATGAAATGAATATTAATGATGCCTTATAGCTGCTTCTGACATTTTCAACCAAAAATAATAATCAAAAAGTACAATGTAAATGAAGTAGAAATGGAAAGGGTTTTTGTTGAACAGCATCTTATTAAAGTGAATGTTCACAGAAAAAAAGTTAAATTAACTAAAATATATACATACAAATGCACTGCACATCAAACTGATGGCCAAACCTTCACATCTGCCACAGTGCTTACAAATACATGTCTATCACACTGGCAGCAAACCCTGTATACAGGTTTTACATGTATTCTCTCCTAACAATGAGGTTATAAGAAGCAGAATGAATGTTATTGAATCTTAACAGCACAGAGTTGTTTCTAACATCTTCACTGGAGCTTGCCAGGACAGTCATCTTTATCTTTGCCATCTGCATCCAGGAAACCATTGATATTTGCAAATGCCTCGTGTACAAATCACACACGCACAGTCCCACTTTTCATCTGGAGGGGGGAAAAAAAACAAGGAAAAAAGCAGGCGATGTTAATGTGATCTGATTTTAATCTAATACTATGTATTATTTCTTATCGACACACAACACATTGAGCAAAATACACTACTGTTCAACGGTTTAGGTCGGTAAGATTTTTAAAACGTTTTTGAAAATCACTTATGGTCCTCAAGGTTGCATTTATTTGACCAAAAATACAGTAATAACAGTAACATTGAAAAATATAATGGTTAAAACAAAAGATGTAATTTATTCCTCTGATAGCAAATCAGCCATTATTCCAGTCTTCAGTGTTTTTCTTCAGAAGTCATTCTAATAAACTGATTTATATGTTTCTTATTATTATAAGCGTTGGAAGCAGTTGTGCTGCTTAATATTTGTGGAAACCATGATGATGTTTTGATGAATAGAAAGTTCAAAAGAACATTTATTTGAAATAGAAATCTTTTGTAACATTATAAATGTCTTGACTGTCACTTCTGATCAAAGTAATGCGTCCTTGCTGAATAAAAGTATTTTTTTTATGTAGTTTGCATGAAAACACCCAAAGGACATCGCAAAAATGTAAAAGTAAATTTTTACATTTTCTGAATAATTTCAATAAGCTACTCAATTTAAGATATCATTCATGTCAGTAGCACAGGTACAAGGCAGGTTACACAGCTAAGTTTAATACTCAGCATAGTGATGCTTACCTTGAAAAACAGCACAATCTAAAAAAAAAAATAAAATCTGGTTTTATCGTAATGCATTTTAAAAATCACTAGAGGGCAGAGTAAGCACTAAGCAAAGTAAGTGATTGTCAACTGAAACTTTCCTTGACTACAGACAACCCTGCTTGTAGGACCACAAGCCATAATTTGCTATTTTATGGCATTATTACATAAAGTCCTTTATATTTTGATAAATTTACAAATACAATACACTCTTCCAAGTAGTGACACCTCCACTTTTCTGCACTTCTTTTGAGAAAATATCCCCAGAATTCTGTAGAATGGATTTTAACATGACCAGGAATACTACAGTGGCCCCTCAAAATTATTTGGACACTCAAGCCACACTTTAATATGTCTACACCAACAGACAATAAAGTTTTGTCATCTGCCGCTTTAAATGCTCAAGCAGAATCGGATTCTGATTGGCTGATTGGCTGTCAAAACAAAAAAAAGTTCTGAAAGTAATTCCAACTACTTTTTTTGTAACTGTTATCATTATAGTTGTGGTGTGGACTTCCCTATTCTCATAGATATTATTAATTAAAATGATTAAAACATTATAGCCATCATTACAGTTACTGTCTTTGGTAACATTGGTAACGGCCTTAAGACCAGTTAGCTACACGTCACTTAAAAAATGGCTGAGAAAAGCAAGCTAGTTCTGAGAAAAGCTCTATCACTGTCTTTTAAACAAGCCAGATTTGGATTTGATATTTTGTCTAATTGAACACTGCTTTTTTTTTTTTACATTTTTAAGTGTCTTGGCATTTTGGGCCACTGTACACTGTATATTAATAGCTGAAATCATCAAATACTTTGTGAATGGCAGCTACTTCAACTCCACTACGCTTTCAGCTGATTTTGTGTTAGGAAAAGAGGCAGAGACCTTTCAGCTTATTTACGTACAAACCGCCTCATTTTGTTAATTCCAATAGCTCAAAGTAAAAAAAAATTGAAATCCTGACATTTAGCAAGTGAGAAAGAGAATGTTAGTAATCAAATGGAGGCAAGAGAAGGAATGGTACAGCCGTAACAGACTCCAGATGTTAGCGACGAAGGGCTCGTGGAGGTCACTGCCAGTGCAGCTGAAGTCAACACTAGAATGGTCAGATTCATGCTGTGGTCAGACCATGCTAGCTCTAGCTGGGCTGTGTGAAGGGGATTTGGTTTGAAGGAACCACTGGAGTGACAATGTAAATTCTTCAGAACCCACTGTCTGGCAAGCTGGGGTTTTGTATATCCATCTTCGGGGAAAGTCTGACTGAGCGCAAGAGAGCCAAGTCATTCGTTTGGAAGCGGAATAAAATGCTGAATGCTGTTTTTATTTGCTTTAGGCTAGTACCCTCAGAGCATTTAATGCGAATGGCTCATTTGTTCTTCAACATAATGAAATGCACATAATACCCGATGCAACCGAACTGGAAAATCCAGCTTAAGATGGTAGCGGGTTACTAGCCGCTAGCAACTAGTTACATGAGGAAGTCAACATGAATTGCCATTTGTAACATTTTATTTCAGTAATATGACATATTAGTATATGAAAAAGGACAATATGATTATATGATTTTATCCACTGGGAAGTGATTGGATAAAAAGGCTTTATTTGTTAACTTAAGTTAAAGCTGCAGTCCATAACTTTTGGTGCTCTAGTGGTTAATAAACAGAACTGCATGAGTCTTGCGGAAGAACGTTGTAGCCAGAGCTACTTCTCTCTGTTTATGTCTATGACGAATCACGCAGGTACTGGGCTACTCCGCAGCGGTACCTACCCGAACCAGTCTAAAATAGTCAGAATATAAACACCTATTATAGGTGTACCGTAGTGATTCTGGATAAGCCAAAAACACGTTTTGGAAAATGGATTCATGGTGTACTCACTTATTATATAAATTTTGTTAAATTTTGAACACAAAAAAAGTTACGGACTGCAGCTTTAACTACATTAACACTGACATCAATCATTAGTTAACATGAGCTAACAATACTTAGTGTTAATTTTATCATACGACAACAGATAGAAGTCACCCATAGGTCCAGTTATATTCTGAAGAAACATTACAGGGGCAAATGTTTTTTTTAACACATGCACGGATGAATTGTTCACAATAAGATCTATGAAATGCATTTAGAAGATAAATAAGTTTACATTTTCATTTCATGTCGACTTTAACAAATGCATCTTTATTGTAAGCGTTGACACTAAAACAATCCTTTCAGCCTAAGTGACGTCCCTGGAAAAGGAAGAGGAAGTGCAAGTTATTACACTTGATGAAAGATTAGGATGAAAATGTTTTCTTTGGAATAAGAGCCCCCAATGAATCATTCACAATAAGACTAGGAACAAGTATTAAGACGGTAAATAAGATTCATGTTGACTTTAAGGTGGTCAAGATGGTTTTTGGAACAAGGTCGCTGATCGACCAGCTAATAACCAGCCTGGTTCAGATAATAACCAGCTTGGCCTGGCTAATAACTGGCTTCTATATTCCAAAACGCAGCTAGCATCTTAAGATGGATTTTCCAGGAGGAATTGCTCATGTCTGAAACTACCACTAACACTGTAATGTGCCTGATCTTCTGTATGTCTGATAGGTTTAAAACGTGCTTCAAAGATACGTCAACCAACCTGTCATAGACAGTGAGATATCTGTCACCTCAGGCCTGTTGAACTTTAGAAGAAGTTCTTGATGAGTGGAGTAACCAGTTGCACCCACAGCTTTACATGGCGGTCTGGCTGATTAAACGTGGAGTTTGACACTTGTGTGGAGCTCTGGTACAACACCTCCTGCTCCTGGACAAGACAGAAAACAAGATTTCACTTAAACTCTCGCTATTTCAAGTGTTATGTCATCTCGGTGCTTTTCTCATAAAGGCTACTAAAGAACTGATTTTAACTGACCTTTTATCACCTGATAAGTGAAAATTACAGGAATCTTACATTTCACAAACTATAAAAACTGATGACACTCACGATTAATTAGGCTTTATTGTAGCCTCTGTTCCCAGAACAACCAGTAAAGATGAATGATTACCGCATATCCTTTATGTGCAATGCAGTTTGAGATATGAACGATAAACTGACTCCACTGCTTTCTAGTATAAGAAAAGCTGTAGCGTCATGGACAATCACAGTATTCAAATCTGTGAATACTAAATTATTCCAGTATCATAGCATGGTGCCCATCACAGACTCATAGAGCAGGGTGATAACACAAATTGGTCTACATTCAATATCTTGTTCAAACTGCAATAAAACGAATCACTTGATACAATGTGTTGAGCACAGCTCTGCTTCCTGTAAGCCCTTACAAAATGACCAGCCATTAATTTCATAGTTAGTACTAACAGCTCTTAAAACACATTGCAACCCAAGATTTATGGGTTACATGATGGGGTACTTCAGCAAACAGACGTGCAGAGGAAGTCCAACCTGTTGCAGTTGCAGCTGGAGTTCCTCATTCTCTGTTACTATGGCAATCTGAGCCTCCAGATCCCTGTGCACAGAGCGATAGCCGAAATTTGGGGAGCCAATGAGAGTGAGGCAGGGGCGGTCACTTCCTCCCACATAGTACCACAGGCCTGTGAAAAAGTGGACAAAATAACCTGAGATTGAATTTTTCAGACCAGTAATGATGATGAGTGCTTTATACAATGCTTCATATTACTGGGCAGTTGTTTACTATGACTCAAACCACTCTAAAAATAATCTGGATGGCTTCACATTCACAAATATGCAGATGTGGCAGATGCTTTGAAGCGGCTGACAGTGCCAGTATCTGTGTTTACTGGTCACATGACTTTAAAAGGTGTGGTGTCTGTACAACAGAAAACATATTTCCTTTCCACAATCAACAATGCACGACTACACACTAGAGGAAGAAAACAAAAAGTGTCAATCAAATTATGTACACAAACCAAACATATGTTCTATTAATAGGTAACAGGAATTACTTGCCACTTCAAAGCCTTGCCAAACATAACCACCCTGGCCTGAGGTCGTGTTCTTGACGAAAGCTGAATATCAGGTAACATAACTGCCAGGAATACTCTAAAATTAATTCCTGAGCACTTCCTTATGCACACAAATCTAGCAATTAGCCTTTATACATGATTATAAATGCCTTTATGCTTAATTAGATTCAATTTAAAGGGGTCATATGATGCTGCTAAAAAGAACATTATTTTGTGTATTTGGTGTAATGAAATATTGCAAATGAAAACATACTTACCTGAGTCAGAACTGCCGGCATTTTAGTATAACGTTACTCTCCCAGGATCAGTAAACAGTCCTCCATAAAATGTGCTGCACACATCTGGATATTTGGGCTAAACTGTTCTGGAACAGACTTGTAAATACAACTTAACCATTGATTTGTAGTCGTGTCCTCTTTTGGAAGACCAAACAAAGTAGTTTCGCTTTCACAACGAAAAACACAGCGGCCTAGCGGAAGCCCCGGCTTAGCGTGAGGGGTCGAGAACGGCGCGGCCGGCTGATCTGACGAAGGAGCGGCAAGCACATGTGACGACCTCGGGCTTCGTCCACGGTGAAAGCCGATCCGGCGATCCACAGCACTAAGTTGTAGTATTTCTTCAGCGACCAGCACAGATCAGCTATTTCAAAACAACACAAGCAAACACAATTAATCAACAGTTTTTTTATTGTCACATCATGGCACTGTTCAATTCTATTATAGACCACTTTGTTGATCATACATGAGTGTTCAGATGTTTAGGGTGAATATATTTTTTAATACTTCAATTAGGGCTGGGCGATATGGCCAAAAAAATCATATCTCCGTATTTTTTATTTTTTTGGGGGCTGAATTGCGATATACGGTATATATCTCTGTATTTTCTACACTTTCTATCTGGATTTTTTTTTCAATCCATATTTATTTTAAAAAATATATATATTTCACTTCCTGCCTTTAAAGGGTTAAACACTAAAAAAGGGTTAAATTCACATTACATTCTCTAACATTGTAACATTACAATCTAAAAACAAAAATAATCATTTTTTAAAGCAGAAGTTAAATTTGCTATAAACGAAAAGAAACGAAAGGTTTAAAATTCTACATATGGCACATTTATAGTCCGCCTAAAATATTTTAGCAAAATGTATTTTCTTTAGTAAGAATTAGCAAAAGCTAATTCTTTTAAAAGGAAGTGCAATCGGTCCGTGCAATCTGTTTTTGAATAATCTAGTTTTGTTTTGCAAAAATTTACTTGGAATGGGCATTCTTCAGCCTCCTGGCCTTTGACTTTTGTGGAACCATTTTTTTCCTCATTATTATCCGTTCGCATTTCCATTGCACTAGCACTTTAAGGACGCTAAATTCGATTTTTACTTAAAGGTAGGGTAGGTGATTTCAGAGATGCTAGCAATAGCAAGCTAGCTTTAAAAAGAATAAAATACCACCCTCCCTGCAAATCACTCTCTAAAGCCACGCCTCCTCCAAAACACTTGAACTCGCATAGGCAGACCAGAGGTTGAGTGTTGGTGGAGGGTTGAACATTATCAGATTACATCATGTCTCAATCACCAGTGAGAAAACATTACAGTACAAAGCACATAATATTACAATAATAACACCTTCCATTCTCGCTCTGTCTGCAGAGGCATAATGGAACACACTGATGACGTATCATGTCTGAGCAAACGGTGCACGGAGTTATGCAAATACATACGTTGACAGGCATATATGACAGCCCTTGAACCGAGGTATATGACTGGATTTTATGGTCCTACGCTTTCGACAGATGTTAGAAATACATATAAATACATTTAGACCACTTAACTTAGTGATTGCCATCGGGATGTGTTAAGACTTTCAACCAGCATAAAAAAAAAGTTTTTGAACCAAATCACCTACCCTGCCTTTAATTAATTTACTTGATAAATGTTACATTATATATGTGTTGATATGTCTGATTGTGTATTATACATTGATAACATATGAAGTTCCTAACAAAATAATAAATAATCAACAAAATAATAAAGTTCTTTGAGCTTTGAACATTCATCTCAACGGTTTTGGCATGTGACTCCACTGGAAGTAAACAACCTACTTGCTGCCAATTTTGAATGGCTACCAATGGAAAAACATGCTTTTTGGTGACAGAAAGGTATAGTTATGGCATGACACTTAGTGAAAAAGGCTCAATCGAGTCCACCTTAGGTTGAAGGCCAGCGTCAGAACGGCAGCTAATGTTCATTGATTCTCTTTCTAGCTCAGCTGCGGGGACCTCTGCACCCTGTCTGTTCCCACTTCAGCTCCACTGTTTACAAGAAATGACGGCATGACAAGGCTTTATCTAATAAGCCAGACTTCTCAACAGGAGCCTGAAATTGAATTCCACTGACGCGGCTCAGGTTTGTCAAGCCTCTATTTTTCTCCAGACGTCACTATTTTATTCTGTCCCTTCAGGTCGGGGCTTTTAAAGTGTATAAGGATACTCAGTTAATGCCATATGAACAACCAAATCAAATTTATTACGAATTCATGCATTTTTAAACCAAACTAAAAATCACTCAGTTACAAACACAGACAGCAGGTTGAGAAATAACACAGTGGCGATCAAGCTGCTTTTGGCTCAGTGGTGCATTTGATTTGTCTTAAATAACATACTGAAACAGTAAAACTGAAATAGCTTAACATTCAACAACAGCCAGAAAACGTGGCCAAAGCATACCTCTGGTTTACAGAGAAAACATCACATGTGTCTGGCAGCCTCGGTGTCCTGAAGCTGTCCAGGAAGAGCTCTGAGGCTATTCAATCAGAGGTGCTGGGAAACCTGCTCCACGCATTAAATTATGAACTTTCCTGTTACACCCAATTTTTGGGAACTGGGCTGATCCACTTCAGTGCTTAAAAAAAAAAACAGTGCAGAAGAAAAACACCTACCTTTAGCATGAAATGTCCAATTGGGGCGATGGTATTCATGCAAGTGGACATGACTCTGCTGACCCAGCTGACACACCTGAAACGGACAGGATGCTGAGCGTTTAAGAAAAACCAACAATACGACGATGGACACTTAAAAAACATCAAAGTTAAAAAACAGCAGAAAAGCACCACTCACACCCTGCTAATTGAGTGTATTTATAGCTGCAGCACCATCTATAAAACAAGCAACAATCATAAACTGCAAAACAGTGTTGATTTTGTTAATGAAAAAATAAAACCTTTGTTGACGACCTTAAACACTAACATTAAACACTAAATGTGACTGTCAACATGCAATATTGTTGACACAAAAAGACAAGACTAAAATTAAATTTTCTTCAACAAAAAAAAAAAAAAAAAAAAAACATGCTTGGGGATTGAAATGTCAAGTGTTGAAATCCTCCTCTCAGCGCTTCTCTCTTAAAAGGACATTTTCTGCCCTGTATTTTACTTTATCTTCACAACATGGCAACCATTCACACATGCTCTCTTTTACATTAGGGAGAAGTTCTGATGAGCTGAAAACATTGACAAACATGTAAGTTGGGAGTTTAGCAATCTCCAATGAAATATTCTGCTCAAATGAAAGTGTAATACAGCCAGTCTGTTTTCCTTCACATGGTCATTTGTGCTGTTTACTGCGACTGAATCGACTGAAACTGTAATAAATCCAAACATAGATCATTTTTTTGTGACTGAGGTTGCTGAATAAATGCACTTACACAACCTCTGTGCCACAATTCAAAGTCTTTTTGCTGTTGTTGTTTTAATAGAAAGACATTAAAGGGGTCATATGATGTTGCTAAAAAGAACATTATTTCGTGTATTTGGTGTAATGAAATGTGTTTATGCGGTTTAAAGTAAAAAAAACACATTATTTTCCACATACTGTACATTATTGTTTCTCCTCTATGCTCCGCCTTTCTGAAACGCGTCAATTTTTTACAAAGCTCATTGTTCTGAAAAGCGAGGTGTGCTCTGATTGGCCAGCTATCCAGTGCATTGTGATTGGCCGAATACCTCAAGCGTGTGACGGAAATGTTACGTTTTTTGCATCCAGTGGGGACATAATTACGGATTATAATGACTTATACTGTCTTTTTACGAGTTGCATTGCATATCGTGCCACATAAACATAAAAACCATGTCTGCATTTGTGATCGGAGAAACAACAAACAACAACTGCTACTCTACACTGCTCAAAACTCGCGTTTGAATCATCAGTAGCAAATTCTTTAAATATGAAAACATACTTACAGGCTGTGCGTCAGAACAGCCGGCATTGTAGTCTACTCTACCAGGATCAGGAAACAGTCCTCCATAAAATGT